CTTACAATTATCTCCATCTATAATGAACTTGGCCCAGTAGTTACAATGGAAAATATTTTGTAAAAATTTACAAAAATTTACAAAATTTATGAAAATTGTAAAAAATTGACTATAAAGGGCAATAACTCCTTAAGGGGTCAATTGACAATTTTGGTCATGTTGACTTATTTGTAGATCTTACTTTGCTGAACATTATTGCTGATTACAGTTTATCTCTATCTATAATAATATTCAAGATAATAACCAAAAACGGCAAAATTTTCTTAAAATTACCAATTCAGGGGCAGCAACCCAACAACGGATTGTCCGATTCATCTGAAAATTTCAGGGCAGATAGATCTTGACCCGATAAACAATTTTACCCCCATGTCAGATTTGCTCTAAATGCTTTGGTTTCAGAGGTATAAGCCAAAATCTACATTTTACCCCTTTGTTCTATTTTTAGCCATGGTGGCCATCTTGGTTGGTTGGGCGGGTCACCGGACACATTTTTTAAACTACATACCCCAATGATGATTGTGGCCATGTTTGGTTAAATTTGGCCAAGTAGTTTCAGAGGAGAAGATTTTTGTAAAAGTTAACGGACGACGGACGCCAAGTGATGAGAAAAGCTCACTTGGCCCTGTGGGCCAGGTGAGCTAAAAATGAAATATTGTTGAATCTGATTTGTTGAAGCTTTGACAACATACTGCACATATAAAGCTAAGTTGTAAGCATGGCCTTACATTTGTTTGTTATTAGTATTTTCATTTCTGATTTTAAAACACCATAACAAATATAACTAGAGGCTCTAAAGAGCCTGTGTCGCTCACCTTGGTCTATGTGCATATTAAACAAAGGACACAGATGGATTCATGACAAAATTGTGTTTTTGTGATGGTGATGTGTTTGTAGATCTTACTTTACTGAACATTCTTGCTGCTTACAATTATCTCTATCTATAATGAACTTGGCCCAGTAGTTACAGTGGAAAATATTTGTAAAAATTTACAAAAATTTACAAAATTTATGAAAATTGTAAAAAAAATTGACTATAAAGGGCAATAACTCCTTAAGGGGTCAACTGACCATTTTGGTCATGTTGACTTATTTGTAGATCTTACTTTGCTGTACATTATTGCTGTTTACAGTTTATCTCTATCTATAATTATATTCAAGATAATAACCAAAAGCTGCAAAATTTTCTTAAAATTACCAATTCAGGGGCAGCAACCCAACAACGTGTTGCCTGATTGGTCTGAAAATTTCAGGGCAGATAGATCTTGACCTAATGAACAATTTTATTCCCGTCAGATTTGCTCTAAATGCTTTGGTTTCAGAGATATGAGCCAAAAACTGCATTTTACCCTATGTACTATTTTTTAGTCATGTCGGCCATCTTGGTTCGCGGGCGGGGTCATCGGACACATTTTTTTAACTACATACCCTAATGATGATTGTGGACAAGTTTGGTTAAATTTGTCTTAGTAGTTTCAGAGGAGAAGATTTTTGTAAAAGATTACAAAAATTTACCAAAAATGGTTAAAAATTGACTATAAAGGGCAATAACTCCTTAACGGGTCAACTGACCATTTTGGTTAAGTTAACTTATTTGTAGATCTTACTTTGCTGAACATTATTGCTCTTTACAGTTTATCTCTATCTATAATAATATTCAAGATAATAACCAAAAACGGCAAAATTTTCTTAAAATTACCAATTCAGGGGCAGCAACCCAACAACGGGTAGTCCGATTCATCTGATAATTTGTGGGCAGATAGATCTTGACCTGATGAACAATTTTACCCCCATGTCAGATTTGTTTTAAATGCTTTGGTTTCAGAGATATAAGCCAAAATCTACATTTTACCCCTATGTTCTAATTTTAACCATGGTGGCCATCTTGGTTGGTTGGCCGGGTCACCGGACACATTTTTTAAACTACATACCCCAATGATGATTGTGGCCAAGTTTGGTTAAATTTGGCCAAATAGTTTCAGAGGAGAAGATTTTTGTAAAAGTTAACGGACGACGGACGACGGACGCCAAGTGATGAGAAAAGCTCACTTGGCCCTGTGGGCCAGGTGAGCTAAAAATGAAATATTGTTGAATCTGATTTGTTGAAGCTTTGACAACATACTGCACATATAAAGCTAAGTTGTAAGCATGGCCTTACATTTGTTTGTTATTAGTATTTTCATTTCTGATTTTAAAACACCATAACAAATATAACTAGAGGCTCTAAAGAGCCTGTGTCGCTCACCTTGGTCTATGTGCATATTAAACAAAGGACACAGATGGATTCATGACAAAATTGTGTTTTTGTGATGGTGATGTGTTTGTAGATCTTACTTTACTGAACATTCTTGCTGCTTACACTTATCTCTATCTATAATGAACTTGGCCCAGTAGTTACAGTGGAAAATATTTGTAAAAATTTACAAAAATTTACAAAATTTATGAAAATTGTAAAAAAATTGACTATAAAGGGCAATAACTCCTTAAGGGGTCAACTGACCATTTTGGTCATGTTGACTTATTTGTAGATCTTACTTTGCTGTACATTATTGCTGTTTACAGTTTATCTCTATCTATAATTATATTCAAGATAATAACCAAAAGCTGCAAAATTTTCTTAAAATTACCAATTCAGGGGCAGCAACCCAACAACGTGTTGCCTGATTGGTCTGAAAATTTCAGGGCAGATAGATCTTGACCTAATGAACAATTTTATTCCCGTCAGATTTGCTCTAAATGCTTTGGTTTCAGAGATATGAGCCAAAAACTGCATTTTACCCTATGTACTATTTTTTAGCCATGTCGGCCATCTTGGTTCGCGGGTGGGGTCATCGGACACATTTTTTAAACTAGATACCCTAATGATGATTGTGGACAAGTTTGGTTAAATTTGTCTTAGTAGTTTCAGAGGAGAAGATTTTTGTAAAAGATTACAAAAATTTACCAAAAATGGTTAAAAATTGACTATAAAGGGCAATAACTCCTTAAGGGGTCAAGTGACCATTTTGGTTAAGTTAACTTATTTGTAGATCTTACTTTGCTGAACATTATTGCTCTTTACAGTTTATCTCTATCTATAATAATATTCAAGATAATAACCAAAAACGGCAAAATTTTCTTAAAATTACCAATTCAGGGGCAGCAACCCAACAACGGGTAGTCCGATTCATCTGATAATTTGTGGGCAGATAGATCTTGACCTGATGAACAATTTTACCCCATGTCAGATTTGCTTTAAATGCTTTGGTTTCAGAGATATAAGCCAAAATCTACATTTTACCCCTATGTTCTAATTTTAACCATGGTGGCCATCTTGGTTGGTTGGCCGGGTCACCGGACACATTTTTTAAACTACATACCCCAATGATGATTGTGGCCAAGTTTGGTTAAATTTGGCCAAATAGTTTCAGAGGAGAAGATTTTTGTAAAAGTTAACGGACGACGGACGCCAAGTGATGAGAAAAAGCTCACTTGGCCCTTTGGGCCAGGTGGGTTAAAAATGAAAATAACAGGACAACTCGCTAACAAACAAACAAACACACCAAAAACTGTAAAATATATTGGACAAACATCACAAACACGGGAATATGTTTATCGAAAATTTGGTTAAACGTTCTGTCATTATTTAGTTACTTACATGGTTTAGCATATTATTATTTTTTAAGTTATTTCATTTCAAAAATAATATATATAATCACCATTTTACTGTACCATAAGCTACAGTTATCAATTGAAATTGCCATGAACAACACAACGGATGCCAAAAGTGGAGCAGGATCTGCTGACCCTTCCGAAACACATAATATAACCCCCGGGTTTTTATATGGCTTCCACGTTGCTCAGTTTTAAGTGGTCTATGTAGAAATCTGTATACTCTTATTTGTCTTTAGTTAATATCTTTTTGATATGGTATTGTCTGCTCTTCTTCGACTTTTGATTTTTGATTGTATCCGTGGTATCTTCTTCGAATTTTTGTTTTTGATTGTATCCATGATATCTTCTCTCTCTTTTTTACAATTGTAAAAGAAATTATTTAATTCAAGGATAAAGAAGCGACAGATGAAATGACAACACCTTTGTTTGATTTATCTGTTTTCGTTTTATTTCTTAAAGTCCCATTATCAGCAAGCAATAAGGTTAGTCGGGATATGTAAATACAAATTAATTGAAAATGATATCAATTAAACAAAAATTGAAATGAAGCGTTATTAATCCGGAAGTATCGGTGTTGAGATAATTTCAATTTTGCACTAACACACGTGTCTTTTTTCAGTTTATAATGCTTTTGTAAGACACAATTGACAAGCCAACAAACACCCACCCAACAACGTAAAAAAACAATTATACCTTATCATATGTTTTCATTAAAACGTAATTTTATTTCTTTGATTCGCCCATATGCTATGACTTCAATATTTCAGTACAACTTAATAGATAACATTACAAGTTCATTTTCCAAAACACAACATGTTTATCATGGTGTTATTTATGCCCAAATGCTAGTTTAAAATTTGCTTTTATGTTTTTTATTTTGTTGATGAATTTATATTGGTGGTAAGTACACTCAATAATACAACTACAGGATTTTATATAGTGTCGTAAATTTTATTCAACGGAAAAATGCAGTCGTATAATGATATGATGCTGTCGTCGTTCGTATTAGACCCTTCTTTGGTCCGTGCAATAAATTTTGCTAAAACTGACCAATTATCCTGGTTACCATGCTCTTCGTAATTTGAACTCTGATGGATAGTTGTCGTCTCATTGGCAATCATACCACATCTCCTCATTTTCATATCGTTGACAATACTACTAAAAAGAAGAAAAAAAAAGGACGGATCAAACCACAAGCCGAGGAAAGACAGATAACACTTTGGTCAAAGGAAAAGGACATAATGAAAAAAAGGAAACAGTTCATAGCAGAAAAAAATGAACAACAGCAACTAAACCAAACCGGGTATAAACGCTGGTGCTCCGGAAGGGTTGTATATCGTGTTCTACTAATGCAATTCTTTGAAGGTTGTAATTGCATGTTGGGATTCACAAATATGTTTCATAATAAGGAGTCTCTTATGAGCCAAAACATACTGTTTGGGGTTATATTATTATCCGTAACTATGGTTCGGATGTTATTTGTCCTTTTTCATTTAGATTTCTTATTACGTGATCAGCATGTATGTTTCTATCATATTCTGATTTTATCTTTAAGCTCCGAAATAAAAAAAAAGTATAAGGTGTTGGTGAGGAATAGAGTCAAAATAATAAAGGTTTTATTGTAATTTCGGTTATTTACACTTCTTAGTCTGGTTTTCTTTTATTCATAAACTATGCGACCTTTTAAATTGAATGTTATCAATTACTGTTTCCATCATATTTCTGTTGAAAGCACAATTTATGTAAAAACTGCGCTTGGGACAGCCAAATATTGGTATTCAAGACATGCGGACGATACCAAAGGGATATTAAAACTCATAAATAAAAATATCTGACAACGCAATTCCAAAAAAAAAAACGAAAGAAAAAAACGATTTCATGTGCTCCGAAATGGTAAGCAGATCCTGATCCACATGTGGCCTCCGTTTTGTTGCTCATGTAAGTTCAAATTCAGTCATTAATCTAATTTCGTGATGTTACATTCGAGGAAACGAGGGCGGGATTGTGGTTACAATTAAGATGTACCCGTCATCATTTGTGAAATAGATATTTCATAACGGTCAACCAACTCGTGCTAGTGTCCGTAAAATTTTCGAAAGGATAACTTCAACTTCACCACTTGCAACCTTTATTTAATAGCTTCCTTGTAAGCAGCAATCCTCTACCAATGGAAACAAGATGAGCTATAGACTATCGTATAACAAGGAGATATATACTCCGTGTCTATCGAATTTAGATCGATTGATCGATTGATTGATATATATTATTGTCGTAATGCAATGACATGACACATGGCAACCTTCAATAAGTTTAACATAACATGTCGTTATTATTGAAAGTTTGTCTTCTGTATGTTGATTTTATCTATGTGCATTTTTCATGTAAAAAGGGTCAACAATGGCCTAGATGGTATTATCTTTTGCACTGAAAAAAAAATAGATTTCGGACAGCAAAATGGGGTCAATGCTTCCTACCCATCATCAGAATTCATGAAGATTCGAGGTTTTTCTTTCTGAATACAACACATATACAGAACACAGTACTCATTAACAGAATAGATATGAAAACCAGACTTCGTCTTGTACAGAAGCAATCACTATCTCAGATGTTAGTTAACATACAGTAACGATAAACTACCCAGAAAGAGCGATATTAAGACGGCTAAGGATGTATAAGGTGATAATTAAACACTTATAAACGACATGGAATGCATGTCCTCTTGTCTTATGGTTATTTTTGTCGTTGGATTGCTGTCTCATTGACATATACCCCACATTTTTATTTACATGTAAAGGAATCTTGGAAACTGCAATATAAGCATCTCTTTTTATTAGTTTTAAAGTATAGTCGTTCTTGAACGAAAGCATTTGTGTCTTAATTTCTAAAAAAAAGTAATAACAAAGTAAAAAGAAATGTGAGCATTAAGTTTTAAAATAACAGAAATTCAGATTATCATGAAATTCGATATCTAAAATAGAATTACAATAAGATTTAAAAAAAAAATAGAAACACCTCAAAAGGAAGATATAACTCCAAAAAAGATCGATAAATAAAAAGGGGGAATATGTTCAATCTTTACATGTTTTAAACATATTGATAAAACACGTTTTTTTTTCTATCTTATTCCAGGAGTTTTGACTTACAGAAGAATGGTAAAAAAGAAAGATTTGGTGAAGATATTCTTTATTTATATGTGTCTCTATCAGATGGTTCCAGCTCATCCTTGTGGCGAAAACCCTCTCCGATCAATAATTAGTTTATCCTCACAAACAGGTAGTTTTTCCTCTGTATACTTTGAGAACATTTTTTCGCATATTTTGCGAAAGTTATCTTTAAACATACTTTTTTTTACTTTTAAGGTATACATATACAGATGTAGAAAACAATTAAAGGAAAGTAGTGTGAAAAATATTTTATCATTACAAAATGACAAACATGTAATCCTTAGCGAATCCTTAGCGACAGATTGCAATTTTCTTCATAATTCTTCATCAACTACGCTTACAGTATAAAATTTTTGAAAGCCAAACTCACGTGATATCCTACAAGGTCAAATTTGCTTTGAAAAGTTTGAACGCCAGTATCACTATTACAAAAATTAATGAATAGACATTTTGTTATCAAATATTAATTAATTAGTATAATCTATTATTGTTATTTGCTTAACGTCCAGTGGAAAGTATTTCATGCATATCTAGGACTAGAATAAAATAACAATAAATCGGATAGGTAGGCTTTGAAAGCAAAAGTACGACCATGATTAAGGGTTGGGAATTTGGACTTCAACTGGGAAATCGAGGTATGTTCGATAGGGTCAGAAATTGTAATTTACGACAAGTCACCCATAAACCTTTCAAAGAATTGCTAAAAGGGTTCTTTAACAAGCACAGAGCTTGGTACTTTCTCTCTCTCTATACACAAAACATCTAATTGAATGTCTTATTCTGATTGGACGTGGCTGCGTATTTGTACACCACCAAACAGCCAAACAACCGCCCCCTCTTTAGCAAAGGTTATGCTGGTAAATGGAGGAAGCAACATGACCATCTTTCTATATCCCATTTAACCCTTGTACTGGGCGAATAAAACATGCGAGACTAACCATAACATTTATTGGTTTGTGAAGAGTATACAGATTACAGCGTAACTTTAATCCCTAGCAAATCTGTATGATACACCAACCCTCGGAATCGACGCAAATACGTTTTTGCTACACGCTGAACACTAGTTACATGATTTCTTGTAGCTTTGACAAATACCATATAAGAGGTATATTTGTACATGCATACATATGATGAGAAAAAAAATAAGCAATTGTAAAATAAGGTTGTATTGTTTAATTTAAGTAAATTTCGTTTTAAGGAATCTGAATTTAGTTAGCTATTTCAAAAATTTACAATTTTATGGACTAAACAATTGCACATAAAACACGAAAAAAACAAATAACAAAGTTCGTAAGGGTAGCTTATACATATAAAGAACACATGTATAGCACTAAAGTGTTACAATTTGAATTTGTGAATAGATGTTATTATAGTTTTATACATATATCCTAAAAATATCGAATCTTGTAGTATAACTTTAAGTTTTCAAAATTCGAGTAGGTTTAATCAACTTGCAGACCAAGCTTATGAGTCATCATGTATAAAATCACAGACCTAATGATTTCATTGTTTAACTATTTATTTGTAGTTTTATTACTTCAGCTGTTTAAGTCCGCACCATTTCAAAGCAATTAAGTCAAGAAAGACAATATTATAAATATTTACTTCATTAATTGAGACACAGATTGTTTCTGCTGTTCATTATTCTCACTAAAAGAATATATTTGTATTGTAATTTTTTGTTACTGTTCAAATATTTTAGGTCAAGGTCTGCGTTTTGTTCTTGATAAATTAAGGCAAATGGATTATCGCGTGTACAGACACTTACAAAGCAACTTCCAGAGGTATGCCGAATGTGTTGGCATGGTAGATACGGGTTATTTCAAGCGTTCTGATAGACATGCTTTGATCAGTATCAACCCATTCAGTAGCCTAGACAACAACGACGATACCAATGACTATATAGAAAACAGTAGATCAGTTGACGATGTTTACAAGTAAGTTGAACGGACAATTCATAAAAATCGAAATATTAACATTTGTTGAATACAATTACATGGGGTTTTGCATTATAATGATAGTCAAAATAGTATGCAATGACTCTTGCTATGATATTATTTTTCTGTATTAGTTATTCAGATGTTCTTCAGAGCTTCAAATTGTTCAAAAATAGAAATGAATATAGGTAACTCCCTAACAATACTAAGTAACTGGACCATCCCAGCCTTACGGATTGAAAATCGTTGGAGTAAATTCACTTATTATTGTAAAATAGTGAATGTTACTAAAGGCGGTTTATGTTGGGGTTCATGTTGCTCAAGCTTTAGTTTTCTGTTGAGTATTTTGTGGACTGTTGTTTGTCTTTTCTTCGTTTTTTCCCCGATTTATGGTTTTTAATTGTCGCCCTGGTATCCTCGCCCTTTTTTTTTACTATTGTTTAGGTTGGTACGAATCATGTTTTTCACATATGCATGTTCCATTAGTACAAATATAAATACTAATAAATGAAGATGAAGAGAAAAGGTCAATGAGACAGCAAACAAACAGCACAGTAATCGGCAAGAAACAAAGAAACCCACATGTAATTGTCAACTAACGGTCTCCAGCAATAAACTATTGTCAATACCATATGTTATGTCAAGTTCCAAATCGACACAGGTCTAGACGAGTTGTAATCAAATAAAGTAGACAATCAAAGATAAAACACCAAAAGAGGTAGGACCAATTCCTCCTGCAATTTATTTCGCAACAGGGCCATTTTCAAAAGTCTTTCAATCTTTGCTTTATTTCATAGTATTCCAAAGTGTGTACTTTAAGATTCTAAAAATTCTGACAGATTTGCAAATTTTGAGTATTTATTCCCAAAAATGTACAAAAAGGACATCGTAAACAAAAACCGAAAATTAAAGCTATGCATTGTCTTTCCGGTACAAATTAAGTGTTCTGAAATAATCCCTATCAGTTGCACTTGAAGTTTGGAACCCTTCATTCATATATAAAACATAAATTGCAATTACCATTTATTAATGAACAACAACTTACTAGCCATCCGATTGCTTATATCAACAGATGGACGTCTTTTATAAAAGCCACATCTAGGCATGGAAGTCTTTTGATGGTGAATAATTAACTGTATAATATCTTTCTGATTAAAGGTCAAATGAAGAAAATAGAAAACAAACCTTAAAGGAAACACAAGAAATAATTTCCAAAGACATTTTACCAATGTTGTTGAAAAGAAGAAGGAGACGTTGAACAGATACAAACGACTTCAAATATCTGCACGGAGACTTGGAGGAATATTCAAGGGTCATGTCATTCAAACTTAATACCTTAAAGTAGTGCTTAACTGTTAAAACAGCTATGTTGTGTATACTTATTTATTTATTTATTATCTTGAATTATTTAACGGGTTGTTTTTTTAAACAGACTATTCTTGTAATCAAAATTGCATGCAAGCACCCGAATGATGGTTGGTGAAAGGTTGTTTAATTAAAAGAATAAATGAAATAAAAATAACATTTAAATTAATTTTAAACAGAAACATACAGACCTTCTAAAATTCAAACTGACCACACGCACGATACACGCACGCACGATACACGCACGGTGAATGCACGATGAATGCACGGTGAATGCACGATACACGATACACGCATGATGAGCGATGAGCGTTACACGGAGGATTAACGAAAAATGAATGATGAATGATGCACGCACGATCGATGCACGATGAATGATGAACACACGATACACGCACGATGAATGATGAATGATACACGCACGGTGAATGATTCATTGACGAATGAACGATAAGCTTTTAATACACGGTTCTCATAGCCATTTTATTTGGAATTGCATTTAAAATTGATGTATGATAATGAAAATATATAAGGGTATACACATTTTAGATATCTCGCTTTCTGTGTTGATTGGTCGACAGTTTTACTAAACATTCCATGTTTTAAATAAATTGATTGTAGTATAGTATTTTCAATATCAATGAGTGTTGTCAAATTATAAAACTCATCGATTTTTATAATTCTACTTAATATAAATAAGATAAAAAAAATATTTATAAATTGCTACATTTTAAAGAGTGGCGATTCCAGCCATTTTAAAAAGAGGGTTCTCAACCCTAGATAAAAGGGATGGATTTAACTATTATATGTCCCCATTCAAATGCATTGATCGTAAAAAAAACCGTCTAAACACTGCAAAGGACTTATAATATGCCACTAAAGACAAGAAAGGAGGTGTTACTTGTACTCTGTTTTCAGATTATGGTAGAGATAGATAGATTTTTAATACATAAATTCCAATTTTTATAGAAAAAGAACCACCAATAAATGAGTAGTTTAACAATATTTGGAACGTGCCGGTTTTTCCTTGATATTGCCGAAAATCAGTGATCTCGGGGTTTTACCTGAAACACTTTGGGAAAATGCAATTTTTAATTCCAATTTTAAACCAAACGGTAAGAGATATCCCAAAGTTTTTTAAAATGCATGTCTAATTTGATAAGGAGATTTGAAAAAACGATCTCAATGGTAGTTGAAATTATTCAGTGCAATCATTTTGTGTCCGTCGTTGTCTTTCATACATATCAATTGGTGTATCCACTGTTTGCTGTTCGTTATCTGTTGTTTATTGCAGTCAGGCCTCGCGATCGGTCTCCAAATTTAAGCCCCCACTTAGGTTAATTAATTATCATTTATAGGGGGAGGGGCTATTTTTCTCGGGACAAACATTATTTTCCTTCCTTAAAAACAACTTAACAATTTTCTATATTTTTTCATTTAATCATAGATGAATATTTAATGATTTTTAAAAAATTAAAATAATATTTGTATGGTAAATGTATCTAAATGTCTGGGTTATTTTCTTATCCAAATAATTAATTTTTCATTTTTTTAAGGTAAAAGTGTTATCAGTTATGTAATTTGACACGTGTCTTATGGTTCAGTGATTTTCCGAAAAATCAAAGAAAACCGGCACATGCATTGTTCAATCATCATTTGTAATTTTTTTATTGATTAAATTTGAATTTATGCATTAAATATCAATCTCTATCTTGATAAGAAATGTGTTTACATGGTATAGCACCCCTTTTAGTCCTTAGTAGCATATTATAAGTCATTAGTGCACTAAGGAGTTTTTAGCCGTGTTTAGACGCATTGTTGTCTCTTTGACACATTCTCCATTTCAATCCTCCATTTTATTCAATTAGTTGTGATTCTCTTTATCTCTCTGTTTGATGTTTTTGCAGACAAAAACAATTCTCAGAATTAATCTAAATAAGCAGACATTAAACTCTTTCTTCTAAAACTTTTAGCATTAAAACTTATTGCATGAAATTGAATTAGTATGTTAATATCAGTCTTCTCACATTTTTGGATGACCTTAATAATAGTTACCTTTATAATGATTTTTGACAGAAATAATAATTGAAGAATTCGTTCTTTTTATCGACACATTTAAAATTGCTGCCGTAAAATGTTATTTTTCGCGACGTCAAACTGTGAAATATCGGGAAAAGATGCATTTTTTCGAGATTTAACCATAAGCTTATAAACGAGCATATGGGCCCCTCTTTTTAGAAATGACATTTGGCTTGATACTGTATGAAGATTATTCGTTCCAACTTTTATGAAGAAATTACCGACTTTTTTTAACTAGATAAATATACAACAAAAATACCGTTTTTTCTTCTTAAATCAATTTCTTTTTAACAAAAATTAATTATTAACAAAGATTTGTTACACAAATGTAGAGCCCAATTTTGTAACGAAGATATTCCTAATCTCTCTACCGAAATCCGCATATCTTTATCTTTTGAAACAAAAAAGTTGAGGATGTCTGTTCAAAGGACAGAAGTGTCCAAGAAACCAAAATGTTAAGTAAATGTCCAATAATTCAAACCCATTTGTCTTTTAAATTTAGCACAGGAAGATATAATTTTTATTACATATACAAATTGATTTTGTAAAGATTAGCTTGTATGTGAACTTTTGTAAAAAAAATCACTGTGGGTCTAAAACTGTATCTCATGCCCATAATTGTCCTAAAGGTAAATGTCATTGTCAGATTATGAGGGTCTGAATGGGGATTCATTATTTCTGTATTCTGTCGTTTTAGGCATTCTTTCTATTCGTTATACCTTTTGCCGATAATTTTTTATTCCATATATTCTAGGACCTCATCATTTTCTTTTCTATATATTTGTCTGGTTATTTTCGGTATCCTTTATTTTTTTTTTGTCAATAATTTTCTATTCTATAAACTCCCATCCACACCCTCATGTATAATGGAAACGATTAACATTTTAGTATACATACCACCCGTTGTCACTTTCACCTGACATACAAATCACATATTTTTATTTCTCACCTGGACACAGGACTAATCTAATATACATATTACATAATAATAACGGATATAGTAAATTCAGTAGAATATAACCTGTATCAACGTAACCCGAATAATTCAGTCGTTATATTCCGCTGATCTACGATTACTCCTCGCAAGTAGGAGAGATCGATTACGGGGAGGGACTGAATTATTCGGGTTAGTATCAACGCACTGGCTTGTTAAATGAATTTTGATCTGACAACTGTATCATATTTTTAGTTATTTTAAAATTGAGAATGGAAATGGGGAATATGTCAAAGAGACAACAACCCGAAAAGAGCAGATGACAGGCAAAGGCCACCAGTTATATTTGATAATGTTTTAGTTTCGAATAAGGCAAAAACCATTGTATTTTCAGAAAATCTCTAAACGGATAATGAGCGTTTAGCGAACTTGACTGGCTATACAACCCAAACACGGTCGGTCTCTAAAAGTTGCCGAATTTGAGAGCCTATATCAAGAGATAGGCTTTACCTATCTTAAGGTGTTTCAAAAATTATCCATTTAAGAACCAAATTGTGGCTTTATATTTATACCAAAATTGAGTTCAAGGCAGTATTTTGTCGAAGAGAACAATTACCCAAAGTGCAACATGCGAGAAGATGTTTCATTTCCATTATTTCTTTTTATTGAAGTGACTAATCTTTTGAGGTTACGTCACGGAAATATATTTTAAATAAAAAGGTGCAGCTTAATGCATCCCTTATAAACAAATTTAAAAAAATCTATGTATATAAAATGACGGGTATTCGTCAATCAGACAGCAATCCAACATAAACACAAGTAAGTTACCTGACATCTAGAATAAGAGGTTTAAGCATACCCCGCGCTGGTATCAACTTTCTGAGTTGTGAGTAAAATTCAGTAATAGTTATACACCGAGGGATAGGTGTGTCTGGATAAGAAACCCCGACGGCCGGAGGCCGGAGGGGTTTCTTATCCAGACACACCGTATCCCGAGGTGTATAACTAACTTACACCCCAAAGCTAAACCCTATATTTGTTAACATTGATTATTAAATGGAAAACAATGGATAGCATATTTATTGACAAAATCGAACCATGAATTATAAAAATCTTTTTTTTTACATGAAACCCCACTAGTAACCTTACTTTGGCTATGTTCTTTCAAACTTTGACAAGTGAGTAGATTTTACAAATGTCAAAGTTGCTGTTTTGCATATTCCCGTTAAATCCTGGTGCTAATATGGATCAGAAGTTCAAGGTTGACCGTTTCGTGCATTCTTATCACAAACAAAAAATACATCATGCTCCTTGTATTTTTTATGTTACGGTTTTATAAAAAAAAAAAAGAAGCCCCCCCCCCCTTTCGAGAATAAACAAACATTCGGACACACTGAGGGATAGGTGTGTCTGGATTAGAAACCCGACGACCGGGATCCAAGGGGGAGGGGGGCCGGGAGTTAGAACCCCTGTTTTTATTTAAATCAATGCTTTAGAATAGAGACATATGACAAGGATCAAAAATTTTACCTTCAAGCAAAGGATTATTTAGGGAGCAACCATTTTTACTTTAAAGGGGTTGGGGGAGAGGGGGGTATGGTTTTTTTTCGGAGTCAGAAATTTTTTTCTCGCAAACAATTTTATTTAGTTTTTCAACGCTATCATTCAAATTATTTTTCCCTTGAAGGATTTTTTTTATTCAAAATAGATGCTTAATATTTTTTTCGCTATTGGAATTTCCTAAAATGTGTTTTTTAATATTCTGAAACAATTTGTAGTGAACACTATTAGTAATTTCTTATGTTCATGCTATTTAAAAAATAATCAATTTCTATTGTAATGAATAACAATGGACTTTGTTTTCGGGATGTATAGAAGCAGGGGTTTCCAGAAACCCCGCTCGTCACACCCTGCGGTCAAAATCCATTGTTATTCATAACAATAGATCTATTCAATTTACACTTGTTTCAGAAATAGAAACTATGAAGTATAACAATAGAACTGGGGTGTAAATATGTATACACGTAGGACTGTGAACGGGAAATATACGAAAGATTTGTTTTTACGTACGATGGAGTGTCATTCCCTAAATACATACGGGTCCACAAACTATTCTTATGATTATAAAACGGTAAATGAGGATCTCATTAGAGGAACAAATTAAGTAAAGATACATGTTGAAGCAAGAATAATTTCCACATGCAAAACATCAAATAGGACGATCTCTCAACTAGTATGCAATTTTAACTGACAATAACACTAGTAAATACTTTATATACTGATATGGAAACAAACATACTGCTCATAATAATTGCACATCT